TGCCTGACTTATTCTTTCAATTCAGAGTTATTATTATTGCGCTGAAGAAAGGTCATGTCTTGCTGTGTTCCTTGAGTGGATTTCAGGTGGCTTCTTGTTTCTTTGTGTGTGTTGTTTTGCTTTGTTCAGGGTAGAGATTTCTTAAGCCTAGTGTTTCTCAATTCTCTTTAATCCTGACCCCCCTTGGAGAAACATAAAGATATTGTATTCTTCTTTAATGTTGTTTATAATCTGGAAACTAAAACAAATAGCACCACTGGAAACAAACCTGAGGGATAAATTGCTGCTTTATTTTCTTACTGGCACCCCTTCTTTTCTTAAGCACTCACACCCCTACATCAGAACCACTATCTTGACTTATTTAGTATTTTTGCCAGTATATTGAATCCAGATAGTGATTTCTTTTTTTTAAATAAAGTCTGTTGAGGATTGGAGTCCTGGCGTGATGCTGTGGATTAAGCACTGGACTGTTAACCGCAATGTCATTGGTTCAAACCCACCAACCGTTTCTCAGAAACCCTATGCAGGGTCGCTATGAGTTGGAACCAGCTCAGTGGCTCTTAACAACAACAACATTGAGTAATGATGAAACAGAAAACAAGAGATAAATCAGTTGTGAAATAAATACAGTAGAAAATAGGAGATCAGTCCCTTCCAGCAAGGCAGGGACTGTGTGTGTGTGCTCTGACACACAGTCAGCTTCTCCTTCATTCTCTTCTCCACAATGAGCAGGAGTAGTGGGGTCAGGATCAAGTTCTTTATCAAGCGGAAGCTTGTAACCTCATTTCAGGATGAAAATATATGAAACTTAAACAGGCATTACTCTTTTTTAAATATTCCAGAGGGAGGCCTTAGTGGCTATCAGGCTGTGACAGCCTTTTACTCAATAAAGTAGGCAATCTTGTTTAAAATAAATATGTTTTTCCATAGGACTCATTGTGGCCATTTTCATTTTTGAATGCTAAATATAAGCTCTATAAACTTCTTTATTCTTCCTGAATCACGGTAATGCAGAAAGTTTCCTCAGCATTGAACACTAGTGGCTTCTTGTTCATCACTTCACCTACAGGCAATGCTTGTACTAATTATTACTCAGTAAATATGTGCTTGTTAAATGAATAAAGAAATCTTTGAGTTTCTTCTTAGTTCTAAATCCTATGATGTGGAAAAAGCTGATTTCGTTCCTGTCTGGACATTTATTTTCTGGTGTGTTTTTTCCCTGCTGAAATCAGTAAAGTATCAGAAAGGTCACAGTGGACCAAGTTTACATTCTGTTCTGTTGTAGTCAACACTCTGAAGGTCTAGGTGACAAATACTTACAATAATATTCCATTCAGCTGTGAGACATTGATTTATGTATACCATTTTCAAATATTTTAAGGCATCTTTGTCTCAGAAGAAACCTGTATTGCCTTTCTGGCTTTAGGTGATTGTTGTGTATAAATTCTATGCATTTAGTTTTCTTTTAATAAAAAAAATAGAGTATTTTTAGTTCATATAGTTTGGTCACTTTAAATTGTTAAATTTAAATCAATCTATGTTTAGAAGTGGAGTCCTGGTGTAGCACTATAAGATAAGCACTGGTTTGTTAACTGAAAGGTCAGCGGTTCAAACCTACCACTCCTCAGAAACCCTATACAGGGTCACTATGAGTCAGAAACAACTCACTAGCTCTTAACAACAGCAACATTAAGAAGCAACAGAGAAATAGATATTAACTCTACTATAGACCAGCATCTTAGCTTAGGCAAGCATTTGGTCACTGCTGGGCTAAAGAGTGAACACCGATAGAAATGAGGAGTGGGATAAAGACTCCAGAGAGGGAGACAAGTTAAGGCGCAGACCTCCACCTGTCTTTGGACTCCAGTTTTCCTTCCCTCCCACAGAAGTGCTTCTGTTGCCCCCAGCTTGCCTCCCTCTCTTGTCATCACATCTCCTGTGACTTCCAGCCAGTGATGCAAGTCCATCCAGTAAACAGAACAGGCTCACACCTGTTCTCTTCCTGGCTGGTCTTTAGGCCCACATCTCCTCTAATGATGTTTTCTTGTAGCTGTATCTGCTTAAGGGAGAGGAGGAAGAATATAGACCTTCTGATTCTGGCCTGGGTATGCTGTTCAGAGGATGGAATGGTTCCAGGCAGCAACAGATAGAGCCGGAAGAAGTGGCAGGAAGTCTTAGAAAAGGGGTGTCTCTACTGTTCTCGGATCATCAGCCTGTGCCTAGTGGTTGGCATGTTCACGTGTCTGAGATTGATGATTAGAAGTCAGGAACCAAAATGTAGATTGCTTTGTGAAAAGCAAGACATTACTTTTAAAGTCACAAGTCTGACATTTAAGCTGCTGCCAGGCCCAGGAATGTGGGCCTGTGAGTGTGTATGTGCTCATGTGCATGCTATTAACCCACTTTACAGTTTGGTTTTCCCCCTTTAATAACAGAGACCTATGAATTTGAAATGTTCGTTTGAAACAAATGAGAGTGTGGTGGTAAAATAGTAACTTCTATGTAAAAACAAAAATGGCACAATGAAATATTGCAGAGTTAAAGAAAATGCTATATATATATATTAATGAATAAAGAAGTAAACATCACCATTTATCTTCATGACTTCACTAGTGGCACTCTTGGTACCAAAATATAAGGAAAATAAACTTTGGTTATGTAATTAGCGTTCTGTCTTTAATAAAGAACTTTGTTCTTAAGTCCTGTCTAGTTGGAGCTGACCCATAGTGACCTTGTATCAGGTTTCCGAGAAGCAACTGGTGAGCTTGAACCACTGATCCTATGATTCAAACCAACTTTGCAGCCCAGCACATTAACCCACAGCATAGATGTGTCTCTTTTAAAGTATAGACAGTCTTCATTTTGAAAAATAGGATATTTATACATTTATTTCATACTCTTATGCATGGCTGATTACAAATTTAATTGCATGCCAACTTACTCAAATAAATAGACTATAATCTCTGCCTTAAGGATTTGGAATGGTGGTAATACAGTACATCTTCTGGATACAATCACCACAGTCTTTACATCTTTTGCACTTACTGTTCTAAGGATATGAATGTAAAGAAATTCTTGGCCTTGTGGCTTTTACATTTTTATCTTGGCATTCAGATCACAGCCGCCTCTCTAGTTCACTTTGAAACTTTCAGCGAAATGATCCCCATATGATTTAAAGTTTAATTACCTTTTGAAAATTGCTTTTGGAAGTGTAGATAGTCCAAAGTAAAAGTGGTTTTGAATTTCGGGCATAGAACATAGCATAATAGCTTTTTAAAATATAAAGAAGGTTTTATTCAATATGGATTCTATCTAGAGTAGGAAAATTAGAATTGCCTTTGCATACTCTTATGCATGCTGTTTTCTTTATTGCATGAAAGCAATATAATCCTCACCCCATCCCTATTTTTCATGTATGAATGCAATAGTTTTTATTAGAATTTCATATCAGGTTTTATACACTTCCTGAAAGGCATATAACCTAACTGAAATACTCTTTTATTTCAGTTCAAGTTCTTAATGGTTTTGTGAGGTCATCTGAGCAATTAAAAATAAACAATAATAGTAATAATAAAGGCACTTATACCAGGACAGGACTTAAATGTACACGGCAGCTGCATAGTGTGGCAACCTGTTCCAGTATGCAGGGGAGGTAAGGGAGTGCATTACTGGTGATGCAGACTCTTTAAAAGCAGACGCCTCCTAAGCTTTCTGTTTCATAGTGGTTGTTGTTGTTGTTGTGAAGTGCCGTCGAGTCAATTCCAACCCATAGCGACCCTGTATAGGGTTTTCAAGGAGTAGCTGATGAGTTTGAACCGCCGACTTTGCAGTTCAAACAAGTTTGCAGTCTGACGCATTAGCCCACAGCGCCACACCTTCATAGTGGTAGTAATCCATTAATATTTGCATTGCATAGGTGACGTTGTTCCAAATCTGGTACATTATAGTAGGTTTCAATAAATCCATTGCTAAATCTTAGTGGCACCTTCAGCTGTAATGTAGGCCTCCCACCAAACTTGGTACAACTGCAACAGTAAAGCCATTTTTATCTAATCTATTTAGGACCGTGACTGATATAATATGAAACTCTAAAGAGTCCAGAATTCCTGCTGGAGTTCCAGAATTTACCATTTAACACACTCTTGGTCTTTAATGGTTCATTCCCGGCTGTTTCTGGTTTTAGTATTTGCATCTTCTTCCAGAAACAGCCCAGACATTCTTAGAAAATTCAAGTGGTCAGAAAGTGGTTTATAAGTTGTAGTACGTCTCCCCATCACTTGGGATGCTTCTTGAATGCAAATTCCTGGGCACCAGCCCCAGATTCCAGGGACCTGGGAATCTGCTTCTAAGCAGGTAGCACAGGTGATTTTGAGTCCCTTGATTTGGCGACAAGCATTTGTGCCGGTGATAGAAGTGGGTCTACAAGCAGGACCAGCTTCATGAGCACATGACCTGTGCAGCACACAGACTCACACCTTCTTGAAATTTCCAATAATATTTGAACAAAGGTCCTACATTTCATTTTGCTTTGGGCCCTGCGAATTATGTTGTTGTTAGGTGTCATCTAGTTGGTACCGACGCATAGCGACTTAATGCACAGCAGAACAAAACTCTGCCCAATCCTGAGACAGCCTCACTACTGTTGCCACACTTGAGTCCATCGATGCTGCCACTTGGCCAATCCATCTCGTTGGAATGTAGTCAGTTCAATATTACAGGATTTTGTGGTATGTTACTTAAATTGCATTTCTTGACATAACATGGATTGCAGTTATTGAATAATGATTGCTTACCTGTTTGTATTAAGTTGCAAACTCCAAGGCCACTTCTGAATATTAGATATGAATGAGTATTATTTGTCATAGGCCATAGAACAGGAAGTTCTAACAGTCTGGTGTTGTTTTGTTATTTTTAAAGGAAATAAAATCTATGTTCCTAGTCTTGAACATAGAAACCTATGTTTATGTTACTCTAATTCCATTTTTTTCCCCCTCTGCTAGGATGGTACAAAACAGAGAAGAGAACGGAAAAAGACTGTATCGTTCAGCAGCATGCCAACAGAGAAGAAGATCAGCAGTGCCAGTGATTGTATCAATTCAATGCTGGAGGGTTCAGAACTCAAAAAGGTCCGGTCCAACTCTAGAATTTACCATAGATATTTTTTACTGGACGCCGACATGCAGAGCCTGAGGTGGGAGCCGTCCAAGAAAGATTCTGAGAAGGCCAAGATTGATATTAAATCCATTAAGGAAGTGAGAACAGGAAAAAATACAGACATATTCCGCAGCAATGGCATTTCTGAACAGATATCTGAAGACTGTGCATTTTCAGTCATATATGGAGAGAATTATGAGTCACTTGATTTGGTTGCCAACTCTGCAGATGTTGCAAACATCTGGGTTACCGGACTGCGGTATCTAATTTCTTATGGAAAACATACACTTGATATGTTAGAAAGCAGCCAAGACAACATGAGGACTTCTTGGGTTTCCCAAATGTTTAGTGAAGTAGATTTAGATGACCTTGGACATGTCACTCTGTGTAATGCTGTGCAATGCATCAGAAACCTCAATCCTGGTTTGAAAACTAGCAAAATTGAGCTGAAGTTCAAAGAATTACACAAATCCAAGGACAAAGCTGGGACTGAAGTCACAAAGGACGAGTTTATTGAGGTTTTCCATGAGCTTTGTACTAGACCCGAAATTTATTTCCTTTTAGTTCAGTTTTCAAGCAATAAAGAATTCCTTGATACCAAGGACCTTATGATGTTTCTGGAGGCAGAGCAGGGTGTGGCACATATAAATGAGGAAATAAGCCTTGAAATTATTCACAAATATGAGCCATCCAAAGAGGGTCAGGAAAAAGGCTGGCTCTCCATAGATGGATTCACAAATTACCTTATGTCACCTGACTGTTACATATTTGATCCGGAGCATAAGAAAGTTTGTCAGGATATGAAGCAACCTTTGTCTCATTACTTTATAAACTCATCTCATAATACATACTTAATAGAGGATCAGTTCCGGGGTCCCTCTGATATCACAGGATACATTCGAGCTCTTAAAATGGGTTGCCGGAGTGTTGAATTAGATGTATGGGATGGGCCAGATAATGAACCTGTCATTTACACGGGCCACACCATGACCTCCCAGATAGTCTTCCGCAGTGTCGTTGATATTATTAACAAGTATGCATTCTTTGCTTCAGAGTATCCTCTTATTTTGTGTTTAGAAAACCACTGTTCTATTAAACAACAGAAGATAATGGTTCAACACATGAAGAAAATCTTAGGAGATAGGCTCTATACAACATTACCTAATGTGGAGGAGTCTTATCTGCCATCCCCAGATGCCCTAAAAGGAAAAATACTGATTAAAGCAAAGAAGCTTTCCTCAAATTGCTCTGGAGTAGAAGGAGATGTTACTGATGAGGATGAAGGAGCAGAAATGTCTCAGAGGATGGGAAAGGAGAATGCAGAGCAGCAGCCCAACCATGTGCCTATGAAGCGATTTCAGCTTTGTAAAGAACTCTCTGAGCTGGTCAGCATATGTAAATCAGTTCAGTTCAAAGAATTTCAGGTGTCATTTCAGGTTCAGAAGTACTGGGAAGTCTGTTCTTTTAATGAAGTGCTTGCCAGCAAATACGCCAATGAAAATCCAGGGGACTTTGTAAACTATAACAAGCGTTTTCTTGCTCGGGTTTTTCCTAGCCCAATGAGAATTGACTCTAGTAACATGAACCCTCAAGATTTTTGGAAATGTGGCTGTCAAATAGTAGCCATGAACTTTCAGACACCAGGATTGATGATGGACCTGAACATCGGCTGGTTTAGACAGAATGGGAATTGTGGCTATGTCCTCCGGCCAGCCATCATGAGGGAGGAAGTCTCCTTCTTCAGCGCCAATACAAAAGACTCAGTCCCAGGAGTTTCACCTCAGCTTCTTCACATTAAAATCATCAGCGGGCAGAACTTTCCCAAACCCAAAGGATCAGGTGCCAAAGGTGATGTGGTGGATCCTTACGTCTATGTTGAAATTCACGGCATCCCTGCTGATTGTGCAGAACAAAGGACCAAAACTGTGCACCAGAATGGAGACACTCCCATTTTCGACGAGAGCTTTGAATTTCAGATCAACCTACCTGAACTGGCCATGGTACGCTTCGTAGTGCTAGATGATGATTACATCGGGGATGAATTTATAGGTCAGTACACAATTCCCTTTGAATGTTTACAGACAGGCTACCGCCATGTGCCCCTGCAATCGCTGACTGGAGAGGTCCTCGCACACGCTTCTTTATTTGTCCACGTGGCTATTACTAACCGAAGAGGAGGAGGGAAACCTCACAAGAGAGGCCTGTCTGTGAGAAAAGGGAAGAAGTCCAGGGAATATGCATCACTGAGAACACTGTGGATTAAAACTGTAGATGAGGTTTTCAAGAATGCCCAGCCCCCCATACGGGATGCCACCGATCTGAGAGAGAACATGCAGGTAACGTTTTTGTGGTTCTACATTGCCTCAGCCGTTTTCCTACTTAGTGCATGTGCGTAGTTTAAGACTGTTTAAGATTCCTTTTTTTTTTAATGAGAATATTTAATTTCAGATCATTTGTTTTTCTAATTGAGTATTAGAATGTTCAGTACTAGCCTCATGTTCTATCATTTACATTTCCAAAACTACAGTTGATGCTAAGGAGCTCTGATTGTGTAGTGGTTACAAATCAGGCTGCAAATCTCAAGAATCTCAAGGTCAACAGTTTGAAACTACCAGCGGTTCTGCGAGAGAAAGATGAGGCTTTCTGCTCTCGTAAAGATTTGCAGCCTTGGAAACCCTGTACAGAGTCCTGTGAGTCGTAACCGACTCCATGGCGCACAACAACCACCACCCATAGTTGATGCTGAAACTATTGATTCCATGTTAGAATAAACCAGACTTGATGCTGTCTTCCACATTGCCATCCTAGTCCCTGTGAATGACGGCTCAAAACTGTGCTGCTTTCCCTAACAGTAGACATCGAAGCTCTGGTACTTCAGAATATTCCAGCAGCTGGAACACAAATTGATACCCTATCAACATAAAAGGAAGAGGTTCAAGTACTATCTTAGGGAGCTGTAAGAAACCCAAACCTGTTGCCATCTACTTGCTTCCAACTCGTAGAAACCCTATAGGACAAAGTAGAACTGCCCCATAGGTTTCTAAGGCTGTAATCTTTATGGAAGCACATTTGTCTCCTGTAGAGCAGTTGGTGGGTTTGAACTGCCAACCTTTTGGTTACCAACTAAGCACTTTAACCATTGCATCACAAGGACTATACAAAACAAAAACTAAACTCAGTGTCATTCATTTGAGTGGATTCGGACTTATAGTGACCCTCTGTAGGGTTTCCAAGGCTATAAATCTTTTATGGAGCAGAAAGCCTCCTCTTCCTGAACACCAGCTCGTGGATTTGCACTGCAGCCTTTGCAGTTACAGTCCAGGGCTTATCCACTGGTGCTACCAGGGCTCCTTTACTAGGACTTTGTTGTTGTTAAATGCTGTTGACTCAGTTCTGACTGATAGGGACCCTGTAGAGTCCTGAGGAGCAGCTGGTGGTTTGAACTGCTGACCTTGTGGTTCAAACTGACCAGTGCTTTAACCTAAAGTATACCCTGTCTCCACTGGATAGTTTTGTCTAAATGAAATAATAATGATTATCTGATGTTTTTAAATTTAGCAAATGTTGTTGTTAAGGATTGCCTAGTCTATTTGACTCATAGTGACCCTGTATAGGGTTTATGAGGAGTGGCTAGTGAGTTTGAACTGCCGACCTTGCAGTTCAAACAGACCTTGCAATCCAGCTCTTTATCCCACAGCACCACACCAGGACTCTGTGTTGTTGTTAAGTGCCGTTGAGTGGGTTCCAATTCATAGCAACCCTGTATAGGGTTTCTTAGGAGCAGCTGGTGGGTTTGGACTGCCAACCTTGTGGTTCAAACCAACTAGTGCTTTCTACACCAGAACTCCAACACCAGGATTATAGTGTTTGTACTGAGCCATTGTGTTTGTACTGAGCCTCCTCTTGGTTTTAGTAATTTTTTTTGAAACATGGACAGCTATTGTGTAAATAAAATACATGGTGTATCAGTGTGTATATTATTTTAGTAAACGGAGATCATAACTACCTCTGAAGAGATAATAACTAAAAGCAATCAGTAAAGAATTGTGTATTTACTTAAGCACCTCTCAGTCTACTAAGGGCCCCCGAGTGACACAGAGCTCGTTGCAGGGGCCCTCCCTCCCAGAGACCTCAGCCCCCACCTGCCTGGGGTGTGAGAAGTACTCTGTGTACAACAGGTGCTCAGTGCATGTTTACACAGCTCTATTTGTTTTTAATGACCATTATGTGGAGGATGCCACCAGTAAGTAAAATATTTGACTCAGAAAATTTAACATATTTTATCCATCAAACAATTCAGTAAGTGCACTGTTCATAAAAAGATCTGCCGATGATGGGGAAATTTTATTTTCTTTCCCTCAACATAGACTCATTACAGAAATGTGTAAGACGTTTCTCCGTTTCTGAGGATTGGTAAATCCTCAGCCCTCAGCTCTGAGGGAGCCACTGTCCCCGGCCACAGGGCTACTGCTATTGTGCGTGAGACACACAAATCCCTGGAGGACCCACCAAAGCTCAAACATTGTCTATTCCACAGGCATTGGCTCTGCTCGCCTGACCAGACACTCATCCCGTGGCCATTTGACAGGCCCTGCAATGTCAGGGTACACCATGGGGACACCGGGGTGTGCAAACTTGTCAACTGTCTGCCCTCAGGGAGCTTTTATTTGAGTGGGGTTGAGCACTGGCAAGTGAAAGAGGCAGTGGGCAGGTGAATAAACACATAGGATAACTGCAGATATAGGTAAGCGCTGTGAAGAAAATAAAACAGGGAAGGGTGACACGGTGATTGAGGAATATTACCATAATGCTTTTCTCTTTATATGTGGCCAGTATCAAAGTGATTCTGACTATAATGATATATTGTTTGATGCCTATATGTTATGCAGTCTTATCAAGAATGAAATTTTTATTTTAAAACCAAAATACTGTTGATTCTTAAGAACCAAGGTGTTTGAGAGCAAAAGGCAGAGGGACTGGAGGGTCAGCCCAGATCAGGAACCCGTGTGTCTGGGATAACACCCCTGGCTCCTGCTTTCTTGGTGTGGCATCGTAGGATCAACACTGGACTGTGAACCACAAGGTTGCTGTCTTGGGATCCACCCAACAGCTCTTAACAACAGTACCGGAATATAGCTGTAGCATTGCAGTAAAGGGAGTCCTGGTGTGATGTTAGAGGATAAACAGTGGACTGCAAGGTTCGTTTGAACCACAAGATTGGCTTCTCTGAAACCCTATACAGGGTCACTGTGAGTCAGAACTGACTCAACAGCTCTTAGCAACAACAACATAGCGATAAAGAGTGTGGGCCTCAACATCAGCAGGGCCACCTTGACGTACTCCTGTGTGACTTTAACTACGTAACAGAGATTATAGCTAAGGCTCTCTGTCCACACTTTTAGCATGGCAGTGAGTAAGGTCATGTTCAATATGCCAGGGCTCGAAGGGTACCAGCTGTGCCATTTTACATCTTTGAAGGGCTTTGTCTAATGGATATTTTAATGGCATTTGTCTAGTGATTAAAAAAAAAAAAAAAAGATAAGCAGGAGCATTACAATCAGTAAAGATGTGAATAGGGGAAGAATCAAGACACCCACTGGGCACAGACAGCAGTGAACACTAGTGTGTCCTCAAAGGTCCTTTAGATTTGGACCAGGAGGCATAAACAGGTGAGAGAGCGAGAGAGAGTCAGCTTTCTACCTTACAAAATTTCCTTTCCTTTTAGGATGGCTGGTGTATGTGATACTTATTTTATGCCTGATTCAATTTTGTTTTCTTTATCTTTACCTTTTTTGAATGCAGAAGTCATTCTTTTTGTTTGCTCATAATTGCATGTCAATATTACCATTACTCTGAACTTTGATCTAAACAGAGGCTTTGCCCTTCAGAAGAATTTGACTTATTTGCATTTTCAGTGCTCTTGATAAATTTCTATAATCATATTTACTTTGGAAAATGGCCATCTTCCCTCCTCCCAAGAATAAAATAATCATTAGCCAGTTCTGTCATAAATTGCTAATTATTGTTGTACCAGGAGATTCAAGTGTAATTAGATATGTCACATATCATACACACAAGAAACTAAAAGCCTGGGTTAGTTTTAAAGCACCCCCTTCTTTCTGCTTCACAGAATGCAGTGGTGTCTTTCAAGGAGCTGTGTGGGCTCTCTTCTGTGGCCAATCTCATGCAGTGCATGTTGGCAGTCTCTCCTCGTTTCCTGGGGCCTGATAACGCCCCCCTGGTGGTACTGAATCTCAGCGAGCAATATCCCACAATGGAGTTGCAGGGGATCGTACCTGAGGTTCTAAAGAAGATTGTAACGACCTATGACACGGTGAGTAGTCATTGTTCACCCTTGTTTATCACCTGGGCGCAAAGTATCTTAAGACAATACATCAGACATATCAGGGAAGCTCTTGCTAAAGTGTGCTTTCCTACTTCATACTTCAATGACCTTTATTGGAAAAAGCATGCCCCTGACTTAGCTGTATGTCAAAGAGTTAAGTGTTTGTTTGGTCTTGTGTTTTTAAAAAAGCAGGATTCTGAGATCTTGGCTTCAGTTGGAACAAGAAGAAGCTTCTTGAGAACTGCATATATCTGAATAGGTTTCTAAAAGATACTCCATTTTCCACACATAATCTGAAGAGGGGTTTCCCCCTCCTGAAATTAGCCATCAATACACTCATTTTTATTTTGTTCTCATTTTCCAAACTGCTAAGTGTGAGAAATCTAATTTTTTAAAAAAATAAACTCAATCATATATGTCATCTGGGCAGACACTTGTAGCACTTCTAGCACTGTGTGATTAGCTTCCTGCCTTATAGCAACTCTCTGAGACACTTGTGACCTGTTATCAGTTTAACATTTGTCCTTCAGGATGCATAGAATATGACACTTAAGGTATTTTGCACTTACGGTGTTTCTTGGATCCTGCTCTTGGTGTACTTTCTGATTTGTTAGAACTCTATGATAGAATTTAGTAGGTGAATACTACCCATTTTGAGCTCCAATGTCAGATCTCCTGTGAGTAAGGTCAGAACTCTCTGTGAGTCTCTCACAACATCACTATTCAGGGTGCTTGGGCCGGGGAGTAAGAATTCTTATCTCTCACTTCCTTCACACTAAAAGCACAAGCTGACCTCACAAAATGCTAGGCTATTTCTCATGTAGCCTGCTGTGGTCAAGGACAAAGCAGGATTGGCATCATAAACTTTAATAGAAATGAGTTTTACAGTTTTATAAATGGATATGAAAGATGTAATTAAGAGAGATTTATTCAACTCAAGGGAAGGGGAAACACCTTAGACCAGCATTTCCCACAGTGGATTCTGGGGAGTCTCAGTTTCTTGGAATGTTAGTAAGTAAATATTGCACAAGCTATGGGTGCCGTGGTGAAATAATTTGGGGAAATATTTTTTTTTTTTTTTTCTGAAAAAAATATATTAGAATTATTTACCATAGGACTTCTCAGGACCTTATATTTGCTGACATGGTTAGTTCTTGCGAGGGAGAGGGAGAGTGTACCCTATTTCACAAGTTGACTTGAACATGAGGGACAGGTTCCCAAACCAAAAGTCTAGAGAGCCTATTTTGGAAAAGGCTTTCTTTTGCCTTTGGGTGAATAGGACCTGGAAGTACACGTTGAAAGAATACAAAATTTTAAAAAGCTTATTATTTTATTTTCTTGTGAAGTTCTCTTTGAGCTGTTTCCTATGTTCCAATGCAGTGCTGGTTGTGTGCTGTCGAGTCGACGCATAGCAACCCTGTATAGTGTTTCTGAAGCTATAAATCTTCACGGGAGCAGAAAACCCCTTCTTTCTCCTGGGAAGCTCCTGGTGGACTCAGACTGCTGAACTTGTAATTAGAAGCTCAACACATTCTTATCATTCCCTGCTCCTTACAGCTTGGAGTTTATGATAAAGTACAAGACATACAGGGACTAAGCTGCAGATACTGCAAGCAAACCACAGAGAACGGCATCCGCCTTGCAGAACAGTGGAAGGCCAGGGTTAAATGCATCTGGTAATCCCTGGGTGAAACACTAGGCTGTGTGCTGAAGGGGCCACAAAGATTAGCAGGAGGAGCTCCTGTCCTCAAGGAGTCATCCTGTCTACTAGAACCTAGTAGATGGAGGGGACTGAGGAGCAAACCCTCAGAGGAAGCTTGTACTTAGATTGCTTTGAGGGGAAAATGGAATGATAGGAAAGAGCTAAAAATGGAAAGATGAGAATAGCTTTTCCATGCTGTGATCCAGAGTACCTCATTAGTTCTCAACTCTTAAAAGAGTTCGAACAAGGGAATAGTGAGTGGTTTACAATCAAGAAAGGTATGGGCCAGTGTTGTATCCTTTCACTGTGTTTAGGTAATCTGTACACTGACGAAATCATCTGAGAAACTGGATTATATGAAGAAGAAAGAATGTGGCATCAAGATTGGAGGAAGACTTGTTAACAAATGTAATATGCAAATGATACAACCTTGCTTGTTGGAAGTGTAGAGAACTTAAAACGCTTACTACTGAAGATCAAAGATCAATATGGATTGCACCTCAGTGCAAAGAAAACAAAATTTTTCACAATTGAACAAATAAATAACAAAATGATAAGTGGAGAAAAGATAGAAACTGTCAAAGACTTTTGATTTTGATTGAATCCAAAATCAATACTCATGCAAGCAGCAGTGTAGAAATCAAACAACATGTTCCATTAGTCAAATTTGCTGCGAAAGACTCTTTAAAGAGCAAAGCTGTCATTTTGAGGATTAAGGTGTGTTTCACTCAAGCCATGATATTTTCAGTTGTTTTATATGTTTTATCTGAAAGTTGGACAGTGAATAGGGAAGACCATAGAAGAACCAATGCATTTGAATTATGTTGTGGAAGAAGAATAGTGAACGTACCTTGGACTGCCAGAAGAGTCAACAAATCTGTGTTGGAAGAAGTACAGCCAGAATGCTCTATGAAAGTAAGGATGGAAGACTTTGTCTCTTGTGCTTTGGAGGACCCGTTCCTGGAGAAGGACATCATGCTTAGAAAACTGTAAGGTCAGCGAAAAAGAGGAAGTTCCCCAATGAGATGGGTTGGCACAGTGGCAGCAACCATGAACTCAACCATAATCACAATTCTGAGGATGGACCATAGGACTGGGCAGTGTTTTGTTCTGTTGTACTTAAGGTCATTATGAATCAGAACTGAGTTGAGGGTACCTAACAACAAAAACAACTTAATGATTAAAAAAAAAGAATAGTTGACATTTGTAAGTGCCTTTTGAGCTTAAGACACAGATAAAAATTATTAGATATTTTGTCACCCGATTTCATTGACCAAAATCTAACCTGATTCATTCATTCAGATGTTTTACTGCTTTCTGTGGCGATCATGCAATGACATGTGTTCATGGTGACCTTTTAATACTTTCTGAAATCAGGGTTGGTGGAAGGGAGGGGGTGTGCCCATGAAGGTGTTGATGGGATAGACTGGTGAGGGTTCATGCGTAGGACCTAGGTGAGATCCAGAGCAGGAGTGTGAGCTGGTCTGGCTTCTTAGTCTGAGATCTTTAAGGACACCAGCAATCTCTGCACACACATCCTAATATCTGGCACAGAAATAGCTCAGTACCTCCTGCTTCCCTGCCCTTTCCTATTCTTGGTAAAGGATAAGTCTTTTTTGCATATAGCTTTACAGTGATGTTGTTAGAGAAATAGTAAACAGAATGTGTTAGTGTGTTTATCCTTTTTAGATTGTAAAATTACTTTTTTTTTTCTTTTAAATGTATAATTGAAGTAACTGTTCTGTCTTAGAGCCCTGGTTTTTATGGTGGTGGTGATTATGTGCCGTGGAGTCAGTTCCGAGTCATAGTGACCCTAGTACAGGGTTTCTGAGGCTGTAAATCTTTACGGGAGCAGAAAGCCTCATCTTTCTCCCGCGGAACAGCTGGTAGTTTCGAACTGCTGACCTTGTGGTTTACAGCCTGATTCGTAACCACTACATTACCAGAGCTCCTTTTATAGATTTATTTTAATTCCACCTGATAAAATAAGTTGTACAATATTTAAAATTAAATTCAAATTATTGCTACAGCAATATTATAACTCTTGTGATATTTTATAGTCCTGTTTTAGTGACTTAATGGATTCTTACTGTGAAACAATTAATTTGTTAAAGCTACTGAAACGAATAGATTAAATATTGATGGGAAATGTACGAAAGGGCTTGGACAGCCTGTAACTTTAAATATAGCTCTTCATTTTTTATAATGTGATATTGAGCTTGACCCAAAATTAATCTTAGAAATATGATCTTATTTCATTTCCCATTTATAATATGAAGGCTCCAAATGAGAAGTCAGAATAGTTTGAGAAAATCCCTCGCCACAGCATGAGCTATTACTGATCTACGCTGCTGAAACTTATAGTGACATTTCCTAAAAGCAGCTGGTAAATTTGAACCACTAACCTTACGGTTCAAACCGACTTTGCGATCCAGTGCTTATCCTACAATGCCACATACGGATGCATATATATATGATCAGGACTTGGATAATGCTTCAGTTTCTAGATAATGCTTCAGTTTCTAAATTTTTATCAACAAAGTAGTGTATCAGAAATGTGTCTGTTTCTTTATGAAAAGCAATCATGGAATTGTGAACCAAGTATAAGCCCATATGGAGGTTAGTAAAAAAACACCCAGGCATAGAGTGGCCACAATCCCAGCATTCCTGGAGCAGACCTTGTTTATACGTTTTCCCAGCATAATTAGTAATAATCCTCCCCCATTAATTCTTAGAAGTATCAATTAATTGTATAGTCACCCTGGCCATAGATTGTCTTGATGAATCCAGCAACAAACAGAACTTCTTCATAGCTGCACAGACTGATTTTGCCCTCTTTAGGGTCACTCCTTAGGTCCTGAGGTTTGAGCACAGATCCTGTTCAGACAGGCAGGTGTCAAAGTCAGTCAAGAGTGGAGGATGAAGAGAACAACTAGTATACCTCCTTAGACTGGGCAGATGAGTGGAGGGAGTAGCTACAGTGGGGACTGGGCTGGTATAGAGAGGACTGAGCAGGTGCTGGTTAGCAATGCTGGACTTAGGACATGTAAGTCTTGAGTGGAAGGCACCTGCTCAAACCCATTAAATGAGGCTTTTTTGTCTCCAAGAGACCAGTGTCCTTAAATACTACAAATTTCTTAGAGATTCAGCTTCCTTTCCTGGGGCAAGACTCGTCCAGTCAGCTTGCCTTTTCTGACTGTGACCCTTGTGCCCCTACGTTCATACCTGCCCAATTCTTTTTGATAGAGCATCAGACTCATGGTTGGACATTTCCCCACCACTCCTC